ACTTCTATACACCGGGTGTATAAAATACTATACCTACATATAAAAGAGAATTTGTATATTAAATGAAATGGTTTAACTCAAAATCGATAACCATGAAAATAGTTATATATATATATATATATATATATATATATATATATATATATATATATATATATATATATATTACACATTATATATAATTTGATTGATTTTGATTTGTTTGTTTAAAAAACGTTACCCCTACACTAGGATTTTCTCCTGTATCGCGGGGGGCAGTTTACAAACATAGATTGCACAAGGACAAACATCCAGACCCGGAACAATTATTTATAGGCCATACAAATACTTGTTCCGTGCGGGATTCGAACCCGCGACCTCCAGCGCAGCCGCTCATTGCTAAGCCACTGCGCCACGGAGACGTCAATATTATATATGTATATATATATATGTATATATATATATATATATATATATACATATATTTTGCTTCATTTGTTTTTTTTTTCAATCAAGCATAGCAATTAATAAATTAAATTAAATGCGCTAAAATAAAAACGTTACTGAACACAATCTATAATATAAACTGGTAGGACAGCGTCAGCTGGGTTCAGCCAGTAAGTTTATGTACACTAAAAAATCCATAAAACTTGTTTTATTTAAGTGTGTAGTATTCGTGTAAATATAAGAGATCCCTAAGATATTGTATTTAAAACAAATGAAATTTGCTATCATTTAACTACGCCAGTATATTCTAAGTTTTTGCATTAAACGTAAAGGCACGCCGCGTCAATAGTTTCAATAAAAATTATCACTTGTCATCTATAGGCTTGCTTGCCGTAAGAAAATTGACTATTGATTCAATGGTATAAAGTAGATGTTAACAACCGCAGTCGACCGTTTTCACAACTGCATCATCACTTTTAGAGTCCCCATTTACTAGTGCTGATGCAGTCTTGTATGTTAAATGTTAATAAACAAGATACAGTCATATAATATCCTACATATCGAGTACTTTTGACAGCTCCATGGCGCAGTAGCTTAATAATTGTTCAGGGTGCTTGTCCTTGTAAGATGTATGTATGTAAACTGCCTCCATGATATAGGAGAAAAACCTAGTGTAGCGGAAATGAATTTTTTAATGTAGGTTAATAGAAAGCCGCGGGAGGCAGTTTTGATAAAATCCCCATATAAAGGAATCTATTAGAGGGTTAAGGTGCTATCTCAAACTGTGCACTTTATAAACTGTAATGGATAGATGTTAGGGAAGAAATCTGAAGTTTCTTACCGTCTCCCGCAAATTGGGCTGAACTCTTCTATGTAGATAGAACCTATATCTGATAAAGAAGTAGATTTGTGGATGCAGAGTAAGATGCTCCTTGCTTTGCGGCAGTTTTAGAGATTAGGGAACCTTTGCAAAAAAAAAAAAGGCACCCATGAAAGCTCGAGGTGCAGACGAAGTACGGACAACGGATTTATTTACAGTAAACAACCGGCGGAAGTGATAGTCTATTTTCTAGCTATTTCTTTTGTAAGCACGTGATATATTAGCACTTAAAATTGCAAGTAATAATTTCATTGATGCCGGCGGATTTGAACCCTGATTGCTCTTGTTTTGCGGCGGGCGCTTAGTTGTTGCTTCAGAATCGAGTTAGCACAGGGGCCTGTGCTAACTCAGTTCTGAAGTACTGTACTGAAGTTAATTGTTATACGTTTCAAAAAACTTATAACATCATAAGGTAGCATATTTAAAATGAAAAATTATTATGGATGCTTTAACATGGATTCATATAAATGGTAAGAAAAATATTAATTATAACTGTTGTAATTTAAACATAATTGTTTAATAAAATAAAAAATCACGTAAATAATCGTCGATATAATTCTCTTCTTGGTGAGGAAATTAGACAAGATATAAATTCCTTGCGTCAAAATAAGTAAAAGAATGGCTATCATGGACACTGACAAATATATTTTAGTAAAAGGTTCTCTTAAAATGTAACTGCTTTAAGAGAAAGTCGATTTGATCCGACTTTTGGTATAAAACACAAGTGAAAAATGGCAAGTCTATTTTCACTTACAGTCCCTGCTCTTTCGATTGACGCGACCCGGGGCCGGAACCTAATAAGACACCGCAATTTCCGACGTCCAACCACGAGTCTAAGCAAACCGCCGGAATTTTATTCGCCCTTTGGCAAAAACTCTCACTTAAGAATGCCTTTAAGGTCGTTTGAAAGTATTTTGGGTTTAAATTAAAATCCGATGTAAAAACGAATCCAAAATATAAAAACATCAATCTTGTGAAGATTATTTGTTTACTTTTTATTATATTATCCTCGGAGAAAAAATGTTTTCTTTAAATTATATCTTTTGATTGTAGGAGTAGCTATGTTTTTTTTATAAAACCGTAGCACTAACTAGAAATTTTTTCTATATCTATCGTGGAGGTGTTTTACATAAAATTACAATTACAACCTATCCAAATCCACTACTGAACGTATGCCTCCCCCATAAATTATCTCATATTTGCCATAGTTGCCATCTTTGGCATTCGGGTTGGCAATTGATGTTTATTTTTGTTATTAGAAAGACGCTGCTGCCCTAATTTTTACCTTCTATCGCTTCTTACCAAACATAATATGCGGCAATACGTTAGACCCACATAAAGCTTACATAAAAATTACACAAACATCCAGCTGGATGTTTGTGTAATTTTAAGGTAATAAATAAAAAAAAGCTCCGCTATCGAGGTCAATACCTCGAGACCAATAAAATCTTGCAAGTGTATTCTTAAAACTACTCAATAGTAGTTTTAAGGATACACTTGCAAGATTTTAAAACTTTGTTCCTACCTTTGAATATTATTACTAAACAGAGGTACAACCATTACTGAGTTCAGGTTTAAGCAGTCAGAGAGCCAGTATATTATTTGAATAATTGCGTCAAAGTGTTGAAAATCAATACACGTTCTGTTATTCAGCGGAGTCGGGAGTAGCGTATATCATGAAAACAACTTTTTGTGCAGTTTTGTCTCGAGTGACGACTACTTGGGTTACTTGTCGCACGTGCTTCCATAAGTCTAAGTCGAAAAAAAGCTTAGACACTATTAAGCCGTCGTTATCAATACTAATGATCTTAAGGATAAGACCACAGTTAAAACTTTTCAGCGAGTGTCGTGGTGAACGCGATATTACGATATACATTAAGCAGAACCCTCTTTACGCATGTCTTACTTTAAGTGTTCATAAGAGTGTTCTTGGTGTAGCGACGCGTTTGGCATGCTGTTCTTTAGGACGAGGTTCGATCACGGCGATCAGTCTCAGCGGAGACTAGCCATCTGTGCAGAATAGAATAACAGTGCACAAGTGCACTGCTTAACATGGTTGAAGGATGGTCAAGGTCAGGACCAAATCTTTACGTGCTTTCCGAACCAAGAGATGAAAGCATCAAAATCCTGACATCGAGCTCCTTCTGAGAATTTCTTGACAGAAAAACTCGTTAACTCATTTTAGCCCTAACCGAGATTCGAGCCCGGGACCACATAACCAGCATTTGCGCTCACGACCACTAAAAAGCGGCCAGTGAACAGAGGTAGTCCTCTTGGCTACCTAGTGTTGGTATACGTTTTACACGGTCGCCATTTTGGTTTTTGGACGCTTTCAATGAAAGATATTTTTTACGTTGGCATACTGTCTGAAATTTCTTGCCGCCAGGTGACCTGCGTGTTTCACCCGTCAAAAATATGGAATGTTTAATGAATAAACTAATTTAAAAGGAAGATTTATGTGGAGTTTAAATTAAACAACGTTGTTCACAACAGCGTAAAGTTATCCGAATTAACTTTGAAAATTAGTTTTATGTTAAACTACGTACGTTTTACTAACAGAAATCCATTAATTAGTGTGTTCATCCTGGATTACGGACTCACACGTGTAAGCAGAAATTGACTTATGAATATTCATTTATTCTCTATTGTTTCTTCAAATTCAAATGCAAGTGAGCACGATGATATTCCGCATTCCGTTTATATTTTATTTACTCAGTACTCTGAATATATTACTGCTTCATACATTTCACAAATTACTGGGGTTCTATTTATGATTTAAGCTCATATATCATCCTCTTACGTTGCGAAGTAGAAATGCACTTACTGCTGCTACCTTTAGAAAGTTTAGATATAAGCTCGCTTGAGCCTTACCCTTATTATTTATCAACCCAATAAAATCCGTTGATGGATATAAGCTTCTCAATAAAATCCATTGATGGACATAGGTTTCTCCCATTTTATTTGCAGTATTACAGTCCAAAGACCCCTGCAACTAACTTCAAACAAAGAAGTCTACAGATGCAACTAACTTCAAACAAAGAAGTCTACAGATGCGTTGTTACCTCGGGGCAAGCTGGTATGCCTCGTAACCTGGAATTATACTGGTTCTCCTCTCTATACTCTAGAGACCAGAAATAGCGTACACGCGCTGCAGCTTAATATCAGAAATGGGTACGTACTCAGGCGAACTCCTAGGCAGAAGTCAAATTGTACCATCAAGTAAACTACTGCGGTTACAAATCCAACTGTCAAGCCTACCACAAATCCTCCATATTATATGATATGATGATGATATAGGATAAGGCCTTAACAGCAACGGTTTCTTACGGCCAGTGAAAAAGAAGGTTCTTTTTAGAATCATTTGAACAATTGAAATTAATTTCTATAAAAAACTTATAAAGCCTTTCTTAGTATACGTAGAGTGAGATAAAAACGTTACTCCGTCATTAAGAATTTCACCTCTATCTTGGAGAAAGTATACAAACATAAATTGCATAAGAACAAACATCTAGATCAGAAACAGTTATTTTTAGGTTATATGAATACTTGATCCGTGAGGGAATCGAACCCGCGGCCCACAGTGCTGCAATTCATGCTAAGCCACTGCGCCACGGAGTCGTCGAACTATTTCTATTAATCTAACACCACAAATCAAATTATTGCTAGGTGATCGATTACAATAAATTTTATTATAATGTCAGAGGCTAAGAGGTCTAAGGAGGTAAGCTAATGAAAATAATATTGCACTTTTCAAGCATCATTAAAGGTTTTTTTTTTTTTTTTTTTTTTTGACAACGAGTCAATGTTTTTAAAGCCCATAGCTGGGCGAACTCTTCTTTAAGATGTGACTAGGAATACGCTATTAAGCATGCATTTCTTGACACAGTTGTTTTTACGACACTATGCATATGCAACTGTGGGTGATACTCCAAAACTGTCCTTTAAAATCCATTCTATGTTTGAAACTTGATTATACAAGTAAATGGTCTTTGCAGGAGTGGAACGATTACAAGCTGAAGTGGAACCCGGATGACTATGGTGGCGTTGACACATTACACGTGCCTTCAGAACATATATGGTTGCCCGATATAGTCTTATATAACAAGTAAGTTTGATTTAATTAACTAATAATAAAGTATGCCGTGTAGTATTGGCGTGAAGGAATCCACTACCACATAATATAATCCACTGCCACATAATATAATCCACTGCCACATAATATAATCCACTGCCACATAATATAATCCACTGCCACATAATATAATCCACTACCACATAATATAATCCACTGCCACATAATATAATCCATTGCCACATAATATAATCTCGTGGCTTCCCTAAGACACGACATAGATAAATTAAACAGGAGATGGGCAACTACTCCTAATAACAACTTTTTTCAAAAACCCGACAGTCAAGCCTGGTAACTATCGCATATTTGAGGTAAGCTATGAAGGAAGCTTTTAATGTGTTCAATATTTGGCTTTTGATAGGCTGCAATACAATTTAATTAATGTTAAAATAATTTCGTAATTAATGACAGAACAAAGAAAATGAACTGAATAACAACAATATCTTTTATATAGTATAAGGGTGACAAACGACTATACTTTCCACCTGATTGTAAGTAGTTACTCTGGTACATAGACATGTACGTCTATTCTCGATTACGAATTAAAATGCATATGCGTTGTTACCCATGAGTGCTAAGAATGCCTCGTTTTCAGTAAAAAATTTCTCCGGTTCTCTATACTCACCATACGAAACGCAGCAGCGATGAGCTGCTATTTTACGGTGGTATTCTGTGAGAGCGTGGTACCCCCCGGTAGAGCCGACCCATTCGTTTACAACTATACTACTAGTATAACTGCAGCATGACTTTACCACGTAAAAACCTACTATGAGGTTAACAGATTCAAAACGAAATCGAACTTAATATTTGAGCAAATACATAAATCGTCGGTTTTATATCATCAACTATAATATTAACTATTGGATCTTTTGTCAGATAAATTGCTACGATTAACTGACGCATTGCTGATTTTAGTACCGGACGATTTCTTTAACACTACTCTCTTTACTCTAAGGTATTTTGTGTCGAATATAATCTGCGACACTGCTATACCGCCATTTAGGAGATTTTCCTGCAATTTTCCATCGTTTTTTTTTATAAAAGAGCGCACAATCATAATACAAAGGGTGGAATTACCTCAATTCAAACTTCATTATAGGAAGAAATTCTGAAATTACTACACAATATCGCAGCAAATATCAAACACAAAAGAAAATGCAACATAATTTAAGGATAGTGAAAATTAAAATAATCTTGTAGTTTATACGTCTCACTGCAAGGCAATAATTCTCTTCTTATATCTAAGAGAATTATGAAGCAATAAGACTCTTCGAAGCAGTTTCCACACGTGCAGTATCCTCACGACGTTTTGTTTTACAGCCGAGTAAGTGGTAAATTAGCAATTAAAATTGTAATTGACGATTTCATTTGTGCTGTCGAGAATAGAGCTCTGGTTGATCGCACGCTTAAAAATTAACGACGAGGACTTTTTAAAATACCACGGTTTTAGGTTTACCTCTCTGATAACATAATTCCTCTGCTGGTAAATGAATATTGAAGCATATATAATCATTTTAGGTATTATTTATCTTGGATTAAATCACCTTTGACGAATAAGTTGGAAAAGATTATTTTTCTGACCAACGGTATCACATAGTATTTTATCTATTTGTAAATATATTTATTTGCAATTTACTTTAATAATAAAGTAACAACAACTATGGTTAAATATTAAATGACTTTTAATAAGTATCACTTTTAAATGAAAAAAATATTGTAATGTTTCCTATTCTACGCTATTGTGTATTTCATATCATACAAAATATTTTATAAATTGCTTGCTACATTATACTCGCGCAATACAACGACTGTGTGTGCATCCATTAATTTTAATAAAAATATAAATCATCTTAATGGAGAGATAAAAAATAAATTTATCATATCGAAGCTTAGTTTATCTTGACGGAGACTGATGAATGGTTTACGGATGGCTGCATTGGCTTTCATATAAAATTGCCGCTTTGAGCAACATTCTGCAAACTATTTATTCCATAGGCACTAGATCGAAAAGAACTTTAAGTAATTTACTTTCAACAAGAAGTGTAGAGCTTACATGCTAGTATGCTATAAAGATGTTATAATCTCGATATCGGCTAGACGTGTTTTAAATCGTAGATCTTCTAATCTTACATCTAGAGCTCTATCCATTAAAAAGACTGTCGTCGTCGACTGTCGAAAGTTATATTAAAATGGATATTTTGCTGTCAATATTCCATTGGTTTGAAAGTTGCAACAAGTCTAAATGTAAATTAAAAATGTATAATATCTAAGGGTATAACATTCGAAATTTTGCCAGAAAAAGGTTAGGAAGGAGATTAAGAGTCGGTGAATTAATTATTTACTAGCTATGCCCAGCATTTATTGCAAAGCTTCTTATTTCTTAGATACCTTAGCGTACACAAGTCATAAAATTTTCATTGTAATTGAATTTATGATAGAAATGGCTCAGAAGACAAACAACCAAAACAAATTTTATTTTTGTCAGAAAACTTCGCGGGCGATCAGACAAGAACTTAACAAAGTTTAATCATAATTGCATAAAAATATAGGAGCGCAGAAAAAAACAAAACAAATAAAATAAACAAACGTGCTTGTTGATGATGTATAAAAATTTAAATTCATAACTGAACAGTTGCTGTCGGAGAAAAATGTTGTAAGACCGACTGATACGACAATTATACGAGAGACAACTGATACGTCACATTACAGGCTATTGAGCATACAAATCAGCAATTGTATTTAATGAAATTAATACAACTTAAATACGGCTCATATTGAAAAGCGGAACCAGGGTTCTAAAGTCTTCGTCAAAGATCTATCTACATCAAAAGCAAACTAACAGTGTTGAAGATCGACTGTGGTGGTTTCAAAAGCTACCAGAGATTTCGAGTGAGATCTAGGAATATTATGAACGGCTGTACAAATCTACTTCAAATGTTTTGAGCGAGATAAGAATATCACTCTAACAGTTTAAGAACTGCAAAACGCCGGGAGAGAACTGGAAATACAGGCGCACTGAAAGCGAGTGGATAACAAATATTTAAAGTTTTTCAGGACTTATTTAATTCTATGTAGTGCTACGCTGGAGACGTGAAGCATAAGTGTGGTCGTTTTATACTTTAATTAACGTGACAAAACTAAATTATAATCAACAGATTACTTTTTCATCTCAACCATGGCTACGTGCTATTTTCGAGAGACATCTCGCTCGCAGACTCGATAACTTCCAGCTACCCGGAAAAGCCAGTTTCTGAAAATCTTTAGCACCATAGACCACAAATATACCTTCGGCAGGGTAAAAAGAATACTGACTAGTATATGCCGTTATGTATGACGCATGTACACTATGAGAAAATGTTTGGTTCTGTGCTAATCTCTTTTTGACGGTGTTAGAATGATATATCGAAGTGCTGAATTGTTTGTTCAGAAAGACTAAGATAGTTATGCAAGTACAGAACAAGAGTACAAAACCTATACAACTTTTTTATAAGCCAGTTCTTGACTACAATTCCACCTGTTGGTAAGTGGTGACGAAGCTCTAGATACCTAGGACTTCTAGGTGAAAAAAGGAAATATATAAAAGAGGATATTATATTCTTCTTCTAATTCACCATAAGGACGTATCCGTCCATTGACATATTGACCATCGTAAAACGACTCGAATTTCCACTTCGCTCTTAGGGATATTTTACATCTGGTATATACAAGATGTACATACTGTCAATAATAGGGTGGCCATATAATCTTACTTTCGTTTTTCTCATGCCCAACTCTTACTTTCTGCCTCTGAATTGGGTGATGGATTTTTCACCCCATAATCATTAATTATTAGTAAATACTAAGAATATAATGAGTACTAGACTCTATTTAAAATTATATGGCAAGAAATTTCTTTAAACATACTTTGAAAAATACCAGTGTACTTAGGTTAACAAGAATAGATAATTGGATCATTGTTTGTGTTGTAAATAGCAAAAAAATGAACACGCTTCTTGTATTATAGACGAGAAGTTTAATTATTGTTTGAAAAATAGAATAAGGAAAATTTATTTTTCAACATATAATCAAAATCATTCCCTGGCATTTAAAAATAATATTGAATTCTACGAAATATTAGTAAATACTACGAGTATTATTTAGTAATCGTCTCTAGCTAAAATGCTTCAACAAGAAATTGATTTCAAATTACTTTAAAAATACCATTTCAGTTAACAAGAAAAGATAATTAGACCATTGTTTGTATTATGAATAGCAAAAAAATTAACACCGTTTTTCCTATTAAAGATGAGAAGTCTAATTTTCGATCGAAAAATAGGAAAATTTATTTTTAACGTTTAATCAACCTCATTCACTCATGATAGTATTAAATGGCACCTAAAAAATGTATAATCATTAATCTAACTTAAAGACTGTTTTTTGCGGAATCAATTTAAAAGTTTTCTGGAAACCTGTGTCCCTCTGTCCAAAGTTTTAAACTAGCCCCATTACTTTCAATGAAAGCTAAGTTTCCTCGCAAAAACCTATAAACTCTGATTCTATTTAGTGGGTGACTTGTCGCTTTATATCCTTGCAAGCTCGCCCCATTACTCTGAATTATCACGGTGGTTAGACAACTTTATCCGAAACATTGCGACCAGAACAATAACGCTTAACCTCATTTTAAATTTGTAACTAGATTTTAAAAGTTTGTTTCGGCCTAGGAATCCGTTTGGGTTAGAAGCATCGTCTTATCCGTATTTGATGCCAAATAGCAGTTCTTGCACTTCTGTGTTCAAGTCTGGAGAGTAAAGAAAGCCAGTATAATTACAAGCCACGAGGCATTCCATCTTAGTTTTCAGTGGTGACAAAGCATCTGTAACACTCCTTGTTTGCAGTTGACTATCGGTGTCCATGGACCGAAGTGGCCAATTACTATCAGGTGGACTGTAAGTTTGTTCACTTGCTTTTGAAACAAAAGAGGTTACTTGATATTT